TACAAATTAATGTTTATTAATATGAACAATATAGTATAAAATAATACACATTTTTCTAAAACTATAATTTATAGCTATTCATTCATATTTATACATATCATTGTAATCAATTTCTTGAACAAGTTGTGCTTCGATAGTCAGTATGCTAAAGCACTAGGTCTATCTTGGCCCATACTTGCTCGTAAATATGTTTTTACCCTTTTCAAAGTAGAAAAAGACCTTTCTCCTGATCAATTTGTAACTCAAAAAGATCCGTAAAGCAATGTCTATATTTGATAAACTTCGCGAAGATTATTAGAATGCAAAAAATTATATATTCCTTGTGCGGAACGAACATCTTCCTTACTTGAAAAAGATTCTATGAGTAGGTGTTGCAAATGAATGCATTCATTTCCTAATGTGTCTTCCAAATCTTCAGGATACTTAGTGACTAGCTCATCGGCCCGAATTTTTAATTCTCTAGTTTCCATTTCAGACAAATAGTCAAAAATATTAAATTTTTCATAGAGCGTATGATAAGAACTTTTAAGGCCCGCCAATTGAACACTTAAAGTGTCTAAAATTCGATAATAATATTTATTCAAAAATTTTCTTCTCCACATAAAAATACCCTTCATGCTCTTGTGACTCGTCTGCCTGAAATTTCGGGTTCTTTTACGATGGTTGTCATGATAATAGTTTTTTACCCCAGAAAGTGCTTTGGCTTTTTCCTCGTATTCGAAAAATTGTTTATCTCTCATGTCCTGTAAAAATAATGCCAAAGAACTATACATTTGTGAAACAGATGATAAATTAGATTTTGAGTCTTGAAATTTTTACTAGCAGCATTGAAGCGTTCCAAAATTGCATTCCAAACAACGACTAGTATTCCTGTTTCCAAATGCTGTACTTTTGCAGCAATCCCCTAGCCTGACACCGTGTTGTAGGTTTTTCATATTTGTTTTCGGCAATAAATTTCAATGCAATAATTGTGCCAGACCCACTCTTTTTTCTAATGCGTAACAAGCATCATGTCGAGCAGACCAACGAGTTTGAGAAAGGCTTTTGAGTCTTAGGGGGTGTTTTTGTTCTTTTTTTATTATTTTTTTTTTCGATTTTGAGATTTTTTGATATTATGAAAGCTAAAAACCTTAGAATTATTTTAAAAAAAAATCTCAATATCTATTTTTTGACGAAGTTATAGATTTATATATCTCTATATGTATGATCATCTGAACCGTTTTTTTCATCGCTCCGCGAGCTATTGTATGCCAGCTGCTCTCTTTTTCATTATAATACGTCATGCACATGACCTTTTTAATGTGTCAGCACCTTTGAACACCATGGTGTATTAGTACATTAAATTAAATGGTGTATCTAGCTTGTCGGATCGACTTGCATTTTTTTTTAATTTGTTCACCACTGCAATACCTAGTCCCCCTACCTCAAACAACTTGATAACATTACGCAAAAAAAATTTGCGAAGCTTCTCATCCCAAAAAAATGCCCTTCTTACACCCTTTTTTTTAAAAAATAGCTGCCATTTTTTCCTTTTTGCTTTTTTTTTTGCTTTTATTTTGTAGGGGGACTGGATTGAACCTTCTTCTTCAACGTAGTTTCGTTTTTTTTTGTTTCAGGAGGCGATGCGCAACGGATTTATCTGTGGCACCGCAAAAGAGATCGATTTTGCAAGGCCGAATTGGCGCCCCCTGGTTAACAAATGACGGCGACAAAAAAAAAATTTTTTAATATTCTATGATTTTGTAATTTTTGTTTAAAAAAAACGCGTGTTTCTATACATTCAATTATATTTAAAAAAAAACAAATACTGTCTTTTATAAAACAAACAAAAAACAAATTAAACTATGTGCATATAGAACAACCCTCTTAACTTGTATGCGTACTAGATCTCCCTCCCACGATTGGTTGAAATGGTAAAAAATTGTATAATTCTTGCAGAGTAGAAAAAAGCCGACAGCCTCGGTTACAGATTCCGCTGCACAAGTTCCCACTAAATTTAAGGAATGAGCCCACAAGGAAAGTATTCTGCTAAGGGGTTAGTTGCTTTGATTCTTGACTGCACTCCTGAGTATACACCTGACATATTGCTTTCATTATCGTATGATTGACCATGACAGTTCATAATTTCCAAACCATTTCTCTCAAGAGATTTTAATAGAGCATCTTCAATATCTTGAGCCTTATGGCCAGTATTTGGAATGAATTCTAAAAATCTTTCGACAATTTCGCCATTATCACGTACATACCTAATAATTATTGTCAGTTGATCTACTTGAGCAATATCAGGCTTAGAATCCACAATTACACTAAAATACTTAGCAGATTGCACTTCCTTGGTGATATGTTTCAATACTTTACTTTGAACTAATGATATTATTTCTTCGTAAATTGTTTTAGACAAATAAGAGGTATTTCCACGACCAGGATGCGCGTATAATTTTAAATGTTCTTGTAAAAATGGGTCAAATTCAGCAAGAAGCTCGACAGAACCCAAAAAATTTCCATTATGTTGATCTCTAATTCGTTCCGAATGTTCTCTGAATGGCAGCCCTTTTATGACGAGAGATTTAACGATCGCAATTACTCGATGTAAAACTTTTTTCCAGTATAAAATTTCGTTATCGAGCTGTTTCATTAGATGTTGATCAACACGACCTTGAATGACAGTACGAACTTGAACACTCGAAAGTGACTAACGTTGGTTTTATGAAAATCAGAGTTTTCATGAGCTTCAATGCGCGCTTTTGAGTTCTTCCAATCTCGAAATTCGTCACCAGTAAAAGCGTTTACTTCACCGCTTCTACCAAATAGTAAGCATAGAGCACAAAATATCGACCCTTTTTAACTTCCCGTAGGGTAAGTTATTGTAATGGGCCGAAAATCGGAATTGAAAATTTTGACATTTCTCGACGTTTCGAAGGTTTCTGAACATTTTGGCATACCTCAGAAAAATGGATGTGTGTGTGTGTGTGTGTGTATGTATGTATGGATACAAATTTTCGCCCACGTTTTCGGGCGTACGGATCAACCGATTTGAATGGTTTAAAAAACATTCGATTCCTATTGATAAGGAGATGTGCTGATTAGTTTTTGGCAAAAGCAGGTCCAGCAGTTACGGAGATAAGGCGCAAAGAGTGCAAAAAATAGAAATCGAGTTTTTGAGAGAACGTAGCATCCGATTTGAATGATCTAAAAAACATTCAATTAGTAATGATTGGAGAAGGGGTTATTAGTTTTTCGCAAAAGCAGGCCCAGCGATTTCGGAGATGCAGAGCTAAATATACAAAAAATGGCAGTTTTTGAAAGAAGTAAACGTCCGATTCAATTGATTCAAAGAACTTTCTGCTTGTCTTAACAATATTGATTTTTGGAAAAAAAATTTTGTATCATTTTTTTTTTTTTTAATTTTTTGTATATCGAAAATAATTCAGATATATTTTTTAATTCTGATTAAAGTTCTAATATACTTTAAAACAAATAATTTCAACTCTGCAATTCAGTTTATATAATTCTTATAAATATTAGACAATGTTACAATATTTATAATAATCTATTTGAAAACATTTAATATTCCTCGATTATCTCGTTACGGTACGGGAAGTTCCAGCATTTGCCTCAAGCACGATGCCACCCACCCCACTAGTTTTCTGAATATATTAACCACTCACGACGTTGTATTTCTCCATTTTTCAAAGCCCGTTTGAATCACTTTCAGAACAAAATCTCGTTTTATCGTTATAAACATTTCTCGAATTTTTAAAATCTGTTACATTATTTGTTGT